CTGTTAGGATGTGTCGTGGACAGAGAAAGAGAGAGAGAGAGAGAGAGAGAGAGAGAGAGTGTTAACTTTCTGGACGAAGAGAGAGGATGGCAGCAGAAGCAGATGGCAGAGTGCCCTTCCCAGGGTTTAGATTGCAGGGTGCTAGAAGGGGTGCAGGGCTAACTCCCTCCTGCGGACAGGGCATATGGGGAGGTGGCAGGAGGTCACGGAAGGCAGAAAGGCAGAACACTGGTGCTGGACAGAGAAAGGAAGTTTTCAGAGACCTTGAAGACAGAACTGCATAGTGGAGAAACTCTCATTTCACTGTCTTTCCTTCCCTGCCCTGCTTATTGCCACCAACTCCGGAGGCCATGCACCGGGACAAAGGCCCCACTTTCTCGGAACACAGCACCTACCAGTGTGGGGTGACCCAGAAAGAGCGAACATGGGCAGCAGCTGGCTTTGGTGGATAAATTGAAGGGAATCTCAGGGGTGGCCTGAGTCCCTGGGTGAGGCGAGCAGAGGGCTTGCATCCCGCCAGGTGTGCTGTGTAGGTGAGGTGAGCCAAGGGCCTGACCTGGCCCTGCTCCCTGTCCCTCAGCGCCTCTGCTCCTTGGCCCTGTCCCATCCTAGTTGGTGCATTGTTAGTTAGTTGGGACACTTAGAAAATGAACTAACACCCACTTTTTTTTTATTAGTGAGACATCATGAGGTACAGTTGCAGACTTATAAATTTTTGTGCTTGGGTCTCAATTATACAATGATCAAATACCCATCCCTCCACCAGTGCCCATTTCCCACCACCACGGATCCCAGTATCCCTCCCACCCCCCATCCCCACCATCCCACCCTGCCTCTGTGGCAGGGCATTCCCTTTTGTTCTCTCTCTCCTATTGGGTGTTGTGGTTTGCAAAAGAGGCAATGGGTGACAATCATGTTTGGTCTATAGTCTACTTTCAGCATGCTTCTCCTGTCCTGGGAGGATCCTCCCAACACCCTTTATTTGGTGCTCCCTTCTCTATCTGAGCTGCCTTTTCCCCTAGCATGTGTGGCTGGCCTCCAAGCCACTTAATCACTTAACTTCCCATTAGTCGTCGATTTGCTCGAGCGGGCGCCAGTAACGTCTCCATTTGTCCCTGTTGCATGCTAGTGTAGCCCAATGACATCTGTTCACTCTGGGAACATGAAGAGCCTCAAACCGATCGTTCATGATCCAAGCCATGGACCAAAATTCCTGGTACTAATCTTGGCCATTCTTGGGTATTAGTCTCCTATTTTGTTACTTTATGTTCCCCAGATGAATGCAGTCTTTCTATGTCTATCCTGCTCTTTCTGACTCATTTCGCTTAACATGATACTTTCCATGTAGTGCCACTTGTATGTCAATTTCATGACTTCCTCTTTTATAACAGCTACATAGTACTCCATTGTGTAAATGTACCAAAGTTTCTTTAACCAGTCATCTGTTCTCGGGCACTCAGGTTTTTTCCAGATTCTGGCTATTGTAAAGAGTGCTTCTATGAACAAACAAGTGCAGATGTCACTTCGACTATACTTTTTTGCCTCTCTGGGATATATTCCCAGGAGTGGTATTGCTGAGTCAAATGGGAGCTCAATTTCTAATTTTTTGAGAATCGTCCATACTGTTTTCCAAAAGGGCTGAACCAGTCGGCATTCCCACCAACAGTGAAGGAGTGTCCCTTTCTCGCCACATCCGCGCCAGCACCAGTTGCTTTTGTTCTTGCTAACACCCACTTTTTAAATACCCTGTAACTTGCACCTTATGCGAGTCTACTCTGAAATCAAAGAATTTTTATTTTTGGTATATCATGTGGATGTGATTTGATTCTATTTTATTTCTCCCCCTGATTATATCAGAATGTTTGTTAATTATATCAGGATCCGTATTAATTCAGCGAGTGCTTGAGTTGGGCTGGCTTGCTGAGCTTCCTGCAAAGGACAGTTGAAAAGGTTGCGGAAACTTTGCTGCTTCCCTCGGGGATTACATTCTGTTTTGTTTAAATAGGATTCTAGTAACAGAAGAAAAACTTTCACTGAAGAAGTAGCTCAAATCCCAGAGGACTAAAACTTGATATGAAGTTGACATTTAATCTGCCATAGAATCTCTTTAATCAGAAAGTATATGATTTGTTTTAGTGTTGGTGAGTCTTGTGCTCCCAGCAAAATATAAGAGTCTTCCAGAATCAGCTGTCAGACTCCCATCTTGTGAACGTGAATCAGAATAGACTTTCTTTCCTTGAGCATTGATTTTGAGGTCTGGGGGCTCCCAGGTGGTGCTCAGGAGGCCCCAGCCCCACCAGCTGTTCTTGGCCTACTGGGCCTTGGGTCCAGCTCAGGGGCAGAGGATGTGGCGTTGCCTGGGCCCTGCAGTGATGGGTCGAACCCAGGTTGAGTGCCTGCTAGGCCAGCACCCGCACCCTGTACTGTCTCCCAGCCTCTGCCTGGAGCACCTTTGTCTCACAGAGGATGATTGGAAGTCAATGATTTTTGAAAAGCAGTGAAGCCTTAGAATGCCAAAAAGAGCATGTCAGCTAAAATGGAAGAAACTGATAATTTTGTGACATTCTCAAAAGGAGAGTTGATAATCACCAGAATACATTTTGAGAAAGTTAATTTTTTTTTCCCATGGGCACGAAGCCAAGAAGAGCTCCTAGGGGCATCCTTAGAAGTTTTTGTCATTTTATGTCTTTCCTTAAATTACACTATCACAAGGCAGTATCTGCTTTGCTGAGACAGTTCACTTTCAGATAACATACATATAACTTACTTTTATTTTGAATAAATTAAAGCACAGCTGTAGTTTACATGAAATTAATAGCGTCTGTAAAGCAGTCTCCCTATATTAGCAGAATAATTGAAGTTTTCAGTTTTTAAATTAAATAATAAAGGGAAGAGGAGACAAGCCCCCAGTTTAGGATAAAGGCAGCAGAGCCTTTGGCTCCAGCCCTTCCTTCCTCTGCAGGAGTCCAGGCTTCCCCTCCAGCCTCTCTTCCTGCTGTGCTGCTCAGGTCAGACCACGGTTTCTGGGCCCTACTCAGAGGCTGGAAAAAGGTGTTTGTACCTCACAGGATATTTGGAAGGATTTACTTACTTGAGTTCAAGTGAAGCTTCTCAAAAGTACCTGGTCTGGAACAAGCATTCAGATGTTAACTACTGCTGCCGTGAATTAATACATTGGGCATATCATGAATTGACCAGTAGGAAGATGCCACAGAATTCTGGGGATTGTCTTCTCCTGGGCCGGGGGGTGGGGGGATGGGGGGGTGGGCGGGGGCAGAACCCGAGGAAGACTCCAGAGGCCTCTGGAGACTCTCATCCTGCTCCCGAGATGTTTCTTGAGAACTCCTGTTCATCACTCTGGATTTATGAGGGTCAAGAACTGACTAAGAGGCATTGCTGTTGAAAGTCAGCAAAAGAGAAGCTCCCCATTTCTTAAAAACTAGATTTATTTAGTAGTATTCTAGAAGTTTGTTGTTATCTAATGTGAAGAAGAAACAGTAAAATTCTAAAATGAGACAGAATTATTTTAAAATAATATTCTTTAAAGAGGAGAATTGAATATGATAAAATGTTCTAAGAATGGGTTAGTAAATGAGCCAGAAATGAATACATTACAGAATAACTGCATTTCAAAAATGAATTGCATTAGAAATATCCAGTAAAGTATAAAGAAAAAACATTTCACAGATATTAGCAGGAAAATATGTTAAACTCCCAGGAAAACCATAAAAAATAGGAATTAACTGTATTAAAAGTGTATTAACTCACCCTGAATGGATGTTTCGTCAAGTGCAATTTGAAAAACAAGTTGAATAATTGAAGCTAAATAACTAATTCAGGGATATGAACACATGGAAATTATAAACATAAAGATTTCTTTTTATATTTATAAATGAAATTCCAGTTATAATCTCAAAAGGCTTACCAGAACATCAGTCGAAAAGTCTTTGGTATAATATAAATGCCATTCAGATTTAGTGAAAGAATGATTATCTAGAACACTATTGTTAGATCATTGAGAAAACAAAGCCCAATTTTTATTTAGGATATATTGCAGTCTTTAAAGTCTGAAACCAAAAAGGAAGTAAATGATTTTAGATTTGTCAACAATAAAAATAAAAATTTCAAAAAATCGAAATATCTTACAACGAAAATGTCATATTTGTAGTTTCACTTGATCACTCCAGAGATAGAAATTTTGTCTTTTAAAATGATAAATATTTTGTAGCAAAAATGGAATTGTTATTTAAAAGTGCTTTTGAGAGAAGAGGGCAATAAGGTCTGAGCTGATTGGATTTTGTTCCTCGGATTATTTTCATAGCCTGGTTCTTTAATAGTTGTTTAATCATGCACTAAGGTGAATCTAGTGATATAAGAAAGTTGTGTGATATTTTTTGGATTCATCTTAATGTTTTTATAGTGGGATAAAAAGCAAACCTCACATATTCTTTCATGAAATAGATATCATTAACTTCTCTTTTGTCACCTTTTTTTTTTGTTTTTCTCTCCATTGTTTGCTTCCTTTTGTATTTGATTTTAAATTTGTTTGAGCTGAAATAAAATATAAAAAAGTGAGAGATGGCATAAATATAGAAACCAGTAGTTCTTTTTTCTTTCTTTCCTGTTCCTGTTTCTAGAGGTCACCAAATTTTAAGTTACTTCTCACTATTTAGGGCTCTATTCCTCTTGTAGTTTTGTTTTTGAAACTTTGCACTTGAGAATTTTTTCTGTCTTTTCTTTTGGCAAAAGCAAGGTACTGAGATCTTTTTTCAGTGGGTGAATGAATGAAAATTGTAGATTCACACCTAATTCCTTTATGATTTGGTCTGTTGGTATTTTAGCACAGAGTTGGGGTTCCTTGCATAGAGTTAATTGTCTCCCAGTCCCAAAGAATCCAACATTCATACATTTCATACATGCTTGTTTCCATAATGCTTTTTTATAAGGTTAAACTGTTTCTTTGTGCTAAATAGTAACTTAAATTTTTGTTTTTCTTGTAGCTGGCTTTGCTGCAGTGCTGCACTGGTAAGATGGCTTTTCTTCTATGATATAATTCATGCAAATATTTATAACTTAGCATATACAAAGAACAAAGATTCCAGAATAAGGATCAGCTTATTTTATTAGCTTTGACACAATAGCCTGAAAAAGTAGTTAATAAATCAGGATCAGAGTAATGTAATTTTTTTAGAATTAAAAAAAACATTATTAAAGATACTATATTTGAGACTCTACCTTGCTTAATATTATTTCATATTGTGGGAAGATCAATTTTTTTAATATTCTGGATAGAGAGAAATGAATTTAATCAGTTATTTTGAAATAGTAACCCAATGTAGTTTGTAGTTGAATGTATAATTTCATTGTACTTGGCTTGAAATATCATTATTCTGCTTCTTTGTAATTCTAAAATATGTGAATGTGTTTTCACATAGAAATTTTCGTAAGAACAGTTAGACATGCTAAACAGAAAAGCGAATGAATGTCATGGTATTAAACATAATGACAGTATTATATGCCTGCTTGTAGATAACCCTTTTGTTTTTAGAGTTTCTTGGAAAAGCAGTACTAGTGCATATTTGAGCAATGCCGCTTTGTTTTTGCAGGAGTCATATAACACACCTCTTTGAAAATGATCGTCATTTTTCTCACCTCTCAACATTGGAAAGGGAGATGGCTTTTCGTACTGAAATGGTTAGTTTTCATGGTATTTATGTAGCATGTTCTTGTGGCATTTATTTGTAGTCTTTTAGAAGTCTGAAAACTTAAGTTTTTTTCTTCTGGGAATTTTCAAAGTTGAAGCAGTGGAGGACAGCCTGCCCTTCTGCATTCTCTGCCTTTCTGCAGTGGCTGACAAAACAGCTAGTTCACCTACACACACACACACACACACACACACACACACACACACACACACACACACACACACACCCCTTCTCCCCAGGTTTCTTTTTAAAGGGTACCTTGAGCATAATTTTCTTCTGGATGATTGCAGTTGGGATGTCAGTATATTTCCATCATGAGGCAAATAGTGTCTAAGCACTGTGCTGTGGGTAGTTGATGTATCTCTGTGTCTTACAACTCAGCGCTCTTCAATCTTTCATACCTGCAGACTAGCACACTAGTCGTTGGAGCATGAGCCAGCAGTTGGAGCCCAGGTGCTGGACAGTGGTTTCCGACCTCTCCACCTGTGGGCAGTACAGACTTGGGATGGCAGTCGGAGAACGTGGTTTCAGCCTATAAATTTCTCTTCCAAGTTTTGTGGTTTTGTTTTCTTTGCTTTTTTTTTTTAATTATTATTTCCTTTTGGTTTGGGGGCCACACTCAGTGGTGCTTACTCCTGGCTCGGTGCTCAGGGATCACTCCTGGCAGGGCTTTAGTACTATGTGGAGTGTCAGGGATTGAATCTGGGTCGACTGTAAGGCAAGCACTCTTCCCTCTATATTATTTCCCCAGCCTTCTGTTTATTTTTTGAGGAATCAAAGTCAGTTGTCCTATAGAAGTGCCCATGGTAATTCATGTTGCTTTTATATTCCGTTACTGCAAAATCCTGAAAATGGATAGATCAGGAGTGAGAGATATTTTTGGGGGGTAGAAATACCTTGTAAGTGGTGCTCCACATCCAGTGTACTGAAGAGCAGTTGGCTGATGGTCTCACTTTCTGTGAGGTCATGATTGAGGAGAGGCTTTTGGTGTTGTGCTGATCCTTGTGGGCAACCAGTGCATCCTTGTTGAACTCCCTCTTGATATTTTTGAAGAGGATCCTGTTTTCTATTTGGAAATATATTTTCTTTCTGAATTAAACCTGACAGATAAGGCAAGTCATAGTTTCCTAGGACAGCTGTAACAGAGGACCACAGATGAGGTGACTTCTTCTGAGAAGAAGTGTTTCTTCTCTCACTGTGCTGGAATCTGAGCCCTAAACCAGTAGGCACCAGGGTCAGACCCTCACCAAACATCCCAGGAGACACTTTGCTGTCACTTCCCTGTCTCCTGCTTTCTGGCAAAACTTGAGCATCTGTGGCTGGGACTGCGCATGGATTAATGTAGTGTCTGCTTGGCCCCTGCTCAGTCTCAGCTTCCTGGTGGCCTTTTCTCCTTTTTCTCTGGCTATATTTTCTACTGCCTACTGGATTTAGAGTCTGCTTTAATTCGTTGTATCTCACCTGATTATATCTACAAGGGTCCTGTTTCCAAATAAGCCCATATCCACAAGTTCTTTGACCATGAAACTTTGGGGGACATTATTTAACCCAGTATCTACAGTTGTAAACGTCCTATTAAAAACAGTGGTATAAGACCTTGAACACCATAGTATAAAGAATTTTTTTTTTTTTAATAAAATCACCCTCAGTACTTTCCTGAGCCTTAAACTGGTATTTTAGATCAGGCAGAGCTAATGGCACTGGTGTCCAGTATAGAGGCTGCAGATTGATTTTTTTTTTTTCTTTCTTTTTGGGTCACACCCAGAGATGCACAGGCTCTGCACTCAGGAACTACCCTTGGCACTTCAGGGGACCATATGGGATGCTGGGAACTGAACCTGGGTTGGCCACGTGCAAAGCAAACGCCCCACCCACTGTGCTATCACTCCATCCCCTGCAGGTTGATTGTTGTGTTTCTCTCCTTGCCTCCTTACTCTTCTGAGACCTTCAGTGTTTGCCAGTGCCCTGGAAAGTTCTTGACCCCTCTAGGCATCCAGCCTTGGTGTCTTTTAGATCAGTACTGTCCAGCTAGAAGGTGGCCTGTCCTCCTGATCAGACCACTCATGATCCTGTCCCGTTCCCTCCTTCCCATCCCACAGGGTCTTAGACTGAGCTGGTAATGAGAAAAATAATCTATAAGATAGTTGGCATTGGAATGTGATTTATAGGTAATATACTGCTCTTCAGTCTTCCTGATATATATACGTTTCCACATGTAAATCTGGAGGAAAGATGGCAGATAGTGCCTTTCTTTCAAGGTCCACATAAGCAAGGGGAGTATATTTGGTTAGAAACATTTCCTGATTCATGGTAAATTTAAGGCCCATACTAAATCCACTCATTCTGGTCTTAAAATAGCTTTTTTTTTTAACACTTACATTAGTGGGGATTATGGGCTTTTCTTAATGAAGTATATTATTTTTTCAAATGATGAAACTATTTTTGAGGGTATCTTGAGCTCATTTGTTTCAGTTAAGAAAAGATCATGCTGAAATGTGTAATTTTTTTGCAACCTAAGAACTTTAGTGATCAGAAATCCGTGAAATTAATTGTAGCTATTAATTATTAAGTGGTTTAGTAATTATGCATTATTTTATTATAACTAACATGCTTATTTCAGGGGCTGTATTATTCCTATTTCAAAACTATTGTGGAAGCACCCTCATTTTTGAATGGAGTTTGGATGATTATGAATGATAAGCTTACTGAATACCCTCTTGTTATTAATACATTAAAAAGGTTCAATCTTTACCCTGAGGTAAGTTACTTTTCCACTTGTGATTTCTAAAAACCTCTCATAACTATTTTTATATTTTAATGCTGATTTTGAATTTAAGGTATAGTCAAGAATGTTAAATTTTGTTTCTTTTCAGGGAAAGGTATATGGTAGAAAGAAGGATCATTATTGATGATTGTGTGATGCAGAAAATGTGAAAACTATCAAGATTTTTTTGTGTTTGCAGGAACTGTGGCATGAGAGCACCATTATTTTCCATGTTTTATGCCAGAAATGTTTTTTGATTCTGCCTGAAATTCCATTCAGAATTGAATAGGGTGGGGGTTGGGGTCAGGTAGTTTCTGTCTGCCACAGGCACGAGAGAGGCGGGCAGTGATTTCACTAATTTTGGGTTTCACCTTTGCATCCCTGCCTTTATCTGACACATCCGAGGATTGTCTATAGCCAGACTAGGATTTGACTTCTTAATCGAACTCATAGTTCTCGCCTTGAGAGATTCTCCTGTGAGCCCCATCATGAGCTCCCTTCTTAGGATACTGGGAGTAAGGCAGCACGTGGCCTCACGCCACAGTGGCTGTCCTCAGCTCTGCTCATTCCCTCTGCCAGTCTCAGTCCCCTGGAGTTGAACTTCTTCATCAGTGAGTTAGCTCTGTTGATGAGTGAGAAGGTGGCACTAGGGATAAATGCATGAGAACCAAGATTCCATGTTTTCTGACTGAATGTACTGCCTGTTGAGTACCTCGTGTAACCATGACTGCCTTTACCGTCAGAGAAACAGGATCAGACAGAAAAAGTGGGATCTCACAGCACAGTTTTCATTGTGCCACTGTTAATTCCACAGACTCCACTGTGGTCTACTACTATTTTTTTTAAATTTTATTTTCATAAAGTTGTGCACAATAATTGGTTACATTCAATATTTCAACACCAGTCCCACCACCATTACACCTTCCCACCACCATTGTTTTGAATTTTTCCACCACCACTCAAGCCTGCCCCACAGGCAAATGCTAGACCATTTATTTTGTATTGCTTTGTTATGAATAGCATGAGATGTTACAGCCGCTCGCTCCTGGGATTCTAAAATTTTAAATAATTAGGGTCCAGAGAAATCTCTGCATCTGGAGGCATCTCTGGTGAGCTGCTCTCTTCTGAGATTCATTTGTGAGTCTTTGAATCACGGCTATTAATGCGCTAAATGGCCTGATTTTGATCTCTTTTGAGATTTATTTATGGGTCTCTGAAGCAAGGCCAATAAATGAGCTTGTATAGCTGAGCTGGAGGTGTCTTGTGGGTGTGACTCCCACATACCTAACTTTTGGCATTTAATATCTCGGAAAACTTGATCCCAGGTTGTTGGGGTCTGGACAGAGGCACAGCTACAATTTTTGGGATATCAGGAAGCCTGAAGGTATCATCAGGCTGCTGATGCCTTTTTGCCCCGAAGGTACAGGTTGACCTAGTGGGCAGCATCTTATGCCCTGACTTCCCGTGACTTCACTCCTACTGGCAGCTGAGTCTCTAGGGGCCTCAGCTGACCCTTTCAGCTGAGGGCGGATGAGGCTGTCTGTCCAGAAACGGGTCTGGTGTACATTAGCACCCCATCAAAATTGCTCTGAGCTTTCTTGTACCTCTATTTTTTTCTTTAATTACTGCAGTCATCGACTCTGATCTGTTAGGATATTCCCTTCTTTGTCACCTTTTGGTGCTTTTCCACATAGCCGTTCTAGGCAGATGCTGGTATTTTGCTTTGTGTTGTTTAATGTTTATGAATTAACATGAAGGAGAATTCACATCTTGAAAATTAGATCTATTCAACGAGACAGAATCTGTTGTTTGTTCTAGAACTTACTCCTGTCTCTGTGCTCAGGGATCACTCCTGTCAGGGCTCAGGTAACCATATGGGTTGCCAGGGATCGAACCCAGGTTGACTGTGTGCAAGGCAAGCGCCTTACCTGCTGATTATCGCTTCCGCTTGTCAGCTCTCCATGTGCACTGAATTTCATAGGTTTTAAAACACTACAAATCTTGCATGTTTTTTGTTATGTTTTACATAACAAGAAAGCTGTAGATAAAGATTGACCAGGGAAAAATTTGTGTAGGAGATTGTGAGGCACAATTTTTATAGCCTAAAAACTTGCCAAGTAGATGGGAAGAAAGGAAGTTTAATAATTATCAAAATCTATAAAAAAGATTTTAGTAATGAGACTGTTAGAGATAGTATCTTTTCTTATGATGTCTCTTTCTTTTTAATAGGTAATTTTAGCCAGCTGGTACCGGATCTATACCAAAATAATGGATTTGATTGGCATTCAGACCAAGATATGCTGGACAGTCACACGGGGTGAAGGACTCAGTCCTATTGAAAGCTGTGAAGGCAGGTTTCTTTTTGCGGGAGTTCCCAGTTACCTGGTACAGGATAAACTAGCACAAACTTCTAAGTAACAATAATTTTGAGTCCAGGATATAGTTTATTATATCCTATATAGTTTACAAGGCACTTGCCTTGCATGCTGGTGGCCTTGGTTCCATCCCTCATCTCTGCCCCCTGCACCACATATGGTCCCTTCATTACTACCAGGAGTAAGCCCTGAACATTGCTCAGTGTGGCCAATACCCCCCACCCCACCTCACCTTAATGTCCACAGAACCACAGCAACTATGGTTACATGTCCTTCTGGGGTCCACAGGAAAGGAGTGTGGCGCAAAGCAGAGGTGGTGCCTTTTCTGTGGGCTCCTGGGCTTAGCTGGAGCTCGGTCCCCGCCCCCCCCCCCCCCATTGCCTTTGTTTGCGTCATCCTGGACTTTTCTAACTCAGGGCACTGTAGGTCGGCCAGGGGTGTCTTCTGGGTCTCAGGGCTCCCAGCTGGACCTTGTCCAACTTGCTGCAGAAGCCACATCACGGGCTGGAGTGATAGTACATGGGTAGATGTTTGCCTTGTACGTAGATGACTGAGGTTTGAACCATCGCATATGGTTCTCTGAGTCTACCGGGGGGAGTTCTGAGTGCAGAGCCAGGAGTAACCGCTGAATGTGGCCCAATATGCCCCCCCTCCCCCAAACAAAGCAAACAACAAAAAACCCAAAAGAAGCCGCTTCACCTATCCCTGCTGTATCTTTTGCGATTATCCCAGCCTAGCCAGACTTAGATAGGCACAGGTCCCGTACCTCTGGGGGTGCTGGGGAGGAGTTCTCGCCCCATTTCAGAGCCTCTGCGCAAGTGCTGAGAAGAGGCAGCCTGTTATGGGTCTGGCACCGTTTTCAAGGGTGTACATTTTAATAGGAATTGCCAGGCACATGAAGGCGTTTCTAGTGAGAGCATATGTTTTGTTTGTTTTGAAAGGATTGGGAGATCCTGCTTGCTTTTATGTTGCTGTGATTTTTATTTTAAATGGATTGATGATGGCGTTGTTCTTCATATATGGCACATATTTAAGGTAAGGCAGATGGGAATTTTTTAGTATGTATTTGTGATGATGTCTACTAGAATAATAAAAGAAAATAATATTTAACATAGCTCAGTTTTATAACAATAGTCCTTTTTTATACATTTACTTGGGGTTATAAAATTATTTCCTGTTGGATAATTTTATCATTGGCATGGGCACCAAACTGAAAATATGTGAAGATTATTAAGTGAAGCATGGAAATGGTATTTGATACATTTTAAATGTTTATAGTCATTTGAACAGAAGTAATATGTTATTTATATAACATATAAGGGAACATTCATTAAACGGTGTTAATGGCTCTTTGCTAATATTAAAATAGAAATATATTTTATATATATAGTTAAATCTGATGTAATTTACTGCATAGTTGAGCAACGTTTTCAATATTAAAGATTACCAAGTTTGTTAAGGGTTTTTAAATATTCATTTGGGGACAGGGCATTTAACCAATTTTACATAGACTGTTTAGAATTTTCTTTTTTCCAGTTTCTGCTGCACTGTAGTATAAAAGTAAGAGCATTATGTCCCTGAGTTTCAGTCTTGGGTAATGAATGTGAATCATTATTCTGTTATCTTCCTTGCTTTGGGAGCATGACATTTCTGTTGGAGGTCTCCAGGGATCACTGGAGTTCCTGTCTCAGAGTTTGAGTATGTAGCAAGTGCTTGATAAATATTTGCCAGATGAGGACATAATTATGAGATGATTTCAAACACTTTTTATATATAGATGTCAGGTATTTTGATGTTACTATTTCTAACTTAGCCCCAAGGAAGTTCTTTTAATTATTTGATTGGGAGATAATGAAAACGAATATACATGATTAAAAGATGACTTGGAAAAGACAGTTTTTGAAACAAGATACAAAGATCTAACCAAAAGTGTTTGGTGACAGCAAAACAGGCTGTCTGAAGGAAAGTAAAGCCAGTGTGCCTTGTTCTGTAGTGAGCCCAAGTCAAATTTCTTGATGAGAAACTTGAGAGAATCTGTTTCGTAGAGTGTCTCCTGTCTTTCTTAGAAATGACTATTGCAGGTGGGAGATTAAAGTTTAAGAGAAGTTAGAAGCGATATGTGGCATTGCTAAATATCTAATATATAGTTGTATTTCCTAATTGAAAAATTTTAAACATTAAAGGGGCACTTAATATCCTTTCCATATAATGCTTGTGATGACCATTATTTTAAAGCCTGGAGCCATGTTTGCTGCAAATATGATGTGATTTTGGGTTTTGGGGAGGGGGCTTCTGAAGATTTCTCAGTCTTCAGCCCCCGTAGTTTTCCATCTTTCTCTCCATGTGGGAGGTGCATGTTTGTTGGTTCAGTAAAGACAGTAGCTACCACATGGGTTCCTTCTGAGACTGCATGTTTGGGTTCTGAGAGCATGTTGGGATTGGTGGCAGTTAAGAGTCCTGTAGTCAGGAGAAATGTGTTTTGTGTGGAGGATTGCTTGAAACCAGACTTGGAGGATCAGGGCATTTTGAATAGGTGGAGGAGAAGAAAATTTCAGGAATAGGTAAAAGCAGAAAACTTGACATATGGGAGGAGGATCTCAATATTCCTGGGATGGACACAGATTAGTGGAGGTAGCATGGTAGAAGGACCCAGTGCCAGAATGGTCTCAAGCCTAGTCCAAAATAAGTGAGAAAGATGAAGATGTTGATGAGGAGGAGGAGGATGAAAAGGCTTCCTCTGCTATCTGACAGTGGAACATTTCTTTTTGCTATGATTTGGCAGGTTATTTTGAAGGTCTGGAAATGTAATATTACATATGTATTTCTTATACAATAATGATAATAGTGTTCTCAGACCACAAAAAATAACCTATCATTATACCAATTAGTAATATTCTTCCTTCTGGGGAAAAAGCAGGGACCTCTCCAGTAGTGCTGGAGGTCACCTTGTCTATACATACACCAGCAGTGCTGAAACCCCTTGAGCTATTCATATACCAGTGCTGAGACCCCCCTGGGCTATACGTATACCAGCAGTGCTGAGACTCCCGCCCCCAAGGCTATACATATACCAGCAGTGCTGAGACCCACCCAGACTATATGTATACCAGCAATGCTGGGGGCTAGCTGGATATACCCCATAGTGCCGGGGGCCCAGCTTGGCTATACTCAGCAGTGCTGGGGGCCACGTGGGCTGTACCCAGCAGTGCCAGTAGAGCACGTGGTGTTGGGTTCAGCAGTGCTGGAAGAGCACTTTCAGGAAGAGCATGGGGTGCCTGGGATGGAGGCTGGCCTATCCATGCCAAGCATGCCCTCCACCCCTTTGAGCTGACTCCCTGGCTCCATTATGCTCTACTTTCTGTTGGGAAGGGGATGACGAAACATGGGTCTGGGGATCTGGCAGGGGCCCAGCAGCTGAGCCTGATGTTGCTGAAACCCTTTCTTCCCACTGTGACACAGCTGGGCAGTAGCAGCGTTCTGTAGCTGTCTAGCTTCTGGACTAATGTGGGGAATTCTTCTAACTCTTAGTCTAACATAGGGGATTTTAAAACCAGTTTAGTGGACTGGGCTAAGCATTTTCTTTCTTTCTTTCTTTCTTTCTTTCTTTCTTTCTTTCTGTATGAGAAAGCAAAGAATACAAACGTGAGTAGTAGATTGTAACATGCACAGTAATAGCTGTTAGAGAAGCTTTTGTTATATTCATATATATGTGATGGGTCATGGTATAAAGACCCTTTCTGACTGATTTCAATGCAAAATGTGTACATTTTGCTTGGTGTAGCAGGAGGGGCGGCTTTCTTTAACTTGGAGCAGTGGGACTGCTAGATGGCTGTCTGTGGTGTCCCCAGTGGCACCTGCGTGCTCAGTGGCCTTAGCCCCTCTGCTTTCCGGCCCTGCACCCCCGCAGATGCTGAGTGCTTCCAGGCAGTGGGAGGGCTGCCCCTGGAGCAGGCTTGGCGCAGGAGACTCAACTCTGTGCTCAGCTGCGTTCCTCAGCTCTCCCTGCGCTCCTTTTAGCTTCTCTGGACCCTGAATGATCCCTTGAGCCCTGTCCAAACACATCCTTGAGTTGAGGCTCTTCCAGCACAGTTGGACTCCAGTTTCCTGCCTCTGGAGTCGCTCCGCTGCAGGGATGTTGTCTGACTGCAAGTCTCGCCTGGCAGGTCTGGGCACCGACGCTTTTGTGGTGATTCTGCTGTACACGAAGTTGAATGAAGTTTCTATCACTTCTTTCCGATCAGCCTTTAAAAATTCCATTTAAAAATGTTTTTGACATGCATATTTTTAGAGAGCTCAAATTACTAGTTACTTCGTAATGTTTTCTTTCTGGATGGTAAGTTTAGTCACACTTCTAATTTTATAAAAGTAGGATACAGCGTCAGACTTCTGAACACCCGTGGGTTGAAAGTGAAAGGGATTTTATACAAAATGGCGCTAGAAGCTCTAGATAAATAGTGTTATATTGATGGGCGAGGTGAGATTTGTCTAGTAGATTAGGAATTCAGAGGAAGGTTGACAGTGGCATTTCTAATCAAGAGGTGTTATTTGTTTTTAAATAATCTCAGTGAAAGTTATCTGAAGTCAGACAAGCAAATTGAACAGAAATGGAGTAGAATGGAAAATTAAAAGCACAACAAGATAGTGAAATTGGGCAGAGTGCCGAGTCCTCTCAGTGTCTGCCCTCAGACATCAGTCCTGGTGGCCCAGGAGACCGTATGGGGTGCCTGGGATTGGACCCAAGTCAGCTTGGTGCAAGACAAGCCCCTCCACAACCCTTTCCTTTCTGGGTCCGTCTCCGACCTGCCCTCTCCGCTCCCCTCTTTCCCACTTGTCTCCTGACTCTGCTTTCTGGCGCCTCTGATGGTGGGGTACTCTGGGGTACAGGCAGGGAGGGGAACGGAGCACGGGTGAGGTCAGTTCTCCAGGTTGGTCTGAGTGATGCCCCCTGAGTGGGACGTGTTGGGGAAGCGAGACCGAGCCCGGTGTTTGGGGGGGCCTTTTTCTTTGAAGTGGATGCAAGGCAGGATCTGTGCTGAAGAGGACTGGCTGGTGGGCGCTGGTCTCTGTTTTCAGGCTGGTTCCTCTGCTGTTGAACTGCTTCATCCTTCCGCGCTGCCAGATTCTCTTCTTCCTTGCGATCCTTTCTTGTCCCGGCCTTCCCCTTCTTCCATTTCCCCAGGATCACTTGCTTTTCTTAGCTGGACCTCTCAGAGGACAAGACTGAAATAAGGTTTTAATTGAACTGTCCTTTGGGCTACCCTTGTCCCCCGCTGGCTCTCTTGGAGCCCCTTGCGGTTTCCGCCCCAGAGAGGAAAGGAGGGGGCTGGGGCACCCACTGCTGTCAGGGCTCCTGTCAGCCCCGCCTGCTTCTCGGGTGCCAGCAGAACAGGCAGCATGGGGCTGTCACCGTGGCCACTGGCCCTCAGGGCCCTCAGCGCTTGCTGCCTTGTCTGGGGCCCGCTGCTTGCAGCTGCCGCTCAGCACAGACGCTTCCCCCAGCTGCTGATGGCTGCCTGCCTGTCTCCCCATCTCACCTCTCTCTCAGCCAGTCTCTCCTCATCCCTTTTCTCCCTCGCCCCTTCCCCCTTCACCTCTTCTCTTCCTCATCCTTCTCTCTTTCTCTCTCCTCCTCTCTCCTGCTCCCCAGGGTGGACTGGGCAGAATCAGGAGTAGAAAGTACTGGGTCCCCCGCCTGGCAAGGAAGAGGCAGGTGGTGAATGTGGCAGAGTGTGACTGTGGGTCTCTTCTGAGAGAGGGAGCTGCCAGGCCAGCATGCTTCCGGGAAACCTGCCAAGGGCCTCAGCCGACTCCTGAGGGATGCCGGACACCACTGAGGGCGCATCTGGCATAGTCAAGGGTGGGTCTGGGCGTGGTGTCCGGAGAAATCCGCTGGGAAGCCTGTTCCCACCTTTGCTTCACCTCTACACACTGCTCTCACTTGGGAATAGCATGGGTGGGTGAAATGCCCTCTGCAGGAGGTGCCAGCAGGAGAGGGGGAGGTACGGGGACAAACCAAACACAGGTGCGTCTGTGCT